GAGTAGGTAATAAGAGCATTTTCCGGAAGTAGTAATGTAAAGTAGAACAAGATCGCAGGCGTAGTGGTGTTCTCTGGTGCAGTGGAGGGCTGGAAGTAGAAAATAAGTAACCAAGTGCCAAGGCGAAGTAACGAGAAGGGAGAGGGAAAGATTAGTAATATGAACAGACGAAAAGTAGAACATATAGGTAGAACGATGTGGCAGAAGAGAGTGTGTAGTCGAGGATATTGAATGAATATGCGATGGTCGCAATGACAAGCCTTTTGCTGAAAGCCGCAAGTGGGGACCGCATTTGTGCCTCTTCTGTTGTGTTGAGAACTCGTTGATTCACCTCACACACACTAACGCCTCTCTCCAGAATACCAAAATTTCGCCTCCTCCCATTCGACAATTTATTTTCTTACCTACAAATATTGCTGAACCGTTACCATTTATTACACTTCTTGCGAAAATTGCGTAGAGAGTGAAAGAAGCTCTACAGGTTGACACGTCATCAGCATATTGGGTATCGTAGACAAGACAACTTCCATCGATTCGCTGTGGTGTCTATTACTCCCTCTAGCTTATTCGATTGCATGTTGGGAAATGCACTTGCTAGACAGGAAAATCTGCAAAAGAAAGCAAGCACTTCCACCTCTCACATGACCAACGTAAACACATTTTGCCCAACATGTATGAGTGGAGTTTGGCAAAAGAACTGGTGACTTATTTACAGGAAATTCAAAAGCCAAACAAGGTTTCACTCCACTTATGTGAAATCCTGTTGTTTAGAAGGCAACTTGTTGCTTTCATCTTTGCCTGTCACAGAGAAAATCACATGTGACTGGAAGACATCACCATCTACTGAGTGATGCATACTTGATTCACCATGCGCTTCACGCAATGACTGCAAGGTTGATGCCATCATGTGACAAGTCAGTGGTGCGATGAAGTTGAAAATGACACACACTCACACACACACACGCACACATGATTAGTGCGCGTGTAGGCAGGCATGTGCCAAGCAGATGTTTGGGTGTTACACCTGAGTAAGCTGACGATTTGCCTTCAACAATGGCAGAGGTATTGAAGAGCATGCACATATTATCAGGAATGCAACTGTTATGGGTAAAATTCTGCAATAATCCATAAAAGGTCGCCATCGTCGTCAGAGAATGAAAGTAAACTCTTTTTG